TTCCAGGGAAATAGGTTAACCTGAGGACCAATGTAGGTATTAGGATAGTGATATAAGAGACTATAACTTTGTCTGTGGTTCTGTATGGGTAAGAAACTTGGTCTCTGACATTAAGGGAAGAACATAGACTGAGGGTGTTTGAGAACAGCGTGTTGAGAATATTTGGACCGAAGAGAGATGAAGTGACAGGAGGTTGGAGGAAACTGCATAATGAGGAGCTTCATAACTTGTACTCTTCCCCAAGTATAATTAGAATGATCAGGTCAAGGAGGATGAGGTGGGCAGGGCATGTAGCACGAATGGGGAAGACGAGAAATGCGTATATGATATTGGTGGGAAAGCCAGAAAGAAAGAGACCAAAGGGAAGACCAAGGTGTAGGTCGGTGGACAATATTAGAATGGATCTTAGAGCGATAGGATGGGATGGTATGGATTGGATTGATCTGGCTCAGGATAGGGACCAGTAGAGGGCTCTTGTGAATACGGTAATGAACCTTCGAGTTCCATAAAATGCTGGGAAGATGTTGAGTAGCTGCACAATTGGCGGCTTCTCACGAAGGCCTCAGCTCCATGAGTAAGTAAGTAAGTAAGTAAGTAAGATATTAGTAGATATTAGGAATGTATGTTGTGACTATGCAGACTGTTTGAAACTGACTATGGAATTGTTGGATTATGTGCATTTGTTGCGACGTAATTGAGAATTCGGTTTTCATAAAAGCAAGAAATTTAATGAGCGGCCCAACATGCTTCTGGTTCTGATGCGACATTCTTAATTTGCAATAAAATTACGTGTCTGTTCCCCAGTTAGTTTAAACTCTTAATCTAAGATGGCTACATTATAAAACAGGTGTCTCTCGTTATTCTCTTACAAGGCTCATGCGTCATGAATATTATTTTCGGTTGTTGTGTACAAATAATTACTTTATTTGCACACGCGGTAGGGTAGTTGGTTGAGACACTATTCTACAAACCGGAAGGTAGTGGGTTCGATTAGAGACGTGGTCATAGGATTTTTCAGTTGACGTAATCCTTCCAACCGCACTATGGCCCTGAGGTCGACTCAGCCTCTAACAGATATTAGTACCAGGAATCTTCCTGGGGGTAAAGGGCGGCAGACGCGTAAATCTAACAACTTCACCCTCATCTGTGAGCCGATTAACTAGAAGATGTAAGAGCCTCGATGTCTCACAACCCTATGGGCCCTCACGGTCTGTTAGAGGCATAGCTTTACCCTTTTTATGATTACATTTTTAACAGCTTTTCAAAGAGCACTGTTGCTGTTGTCATGGAGACGTTACAAATCGCATAGACCCGTTTACGTGGTATGTCCTACAATACGGCTTACTTGAATAAAAAGAAACATAAAAATTTTATAACTCTTCATTTCCAGTAAATTAAATTTAGTGTGTAGACGTCACAGGAGAACTGCATAAGTATACACAGATATGACACATATAAAATAAATAAACCTTGCCCATAATGCAGTATAAATTTAATCCTTAGTAGCACTTGGATTACCAACACCTCAAACTGTAGATCTTGTAGATATAAAAAAGTCGCTTTATAACTTACGCGCGTATACATTACTCCTTTTATGCTCTGAAGAGCATGCAGGAATGCTTAAGAAAAGGAAGATAATATAGAAGCTTTAGAATTCCTTCATAGCACAACTGTAATTCAGGTGCATGTTCTTTATCCCACAACGTATTTTAGAAATGTATATAGAGACCTAAGTTAGCGTTTATAACACGGCATTATACAGCACGTTTCTTCTAGCGTAACAGTTGTGATGCCTTCCGTACATACTGAACCATCCGCTAGATACAAGCAGAACTGTACCTTGTTAACAAGGTGTTTCAAATACTCGTTCACATTTAGCCTTCTTATAATTGCTTGACCACTTATAAAACGTCTCTTGAGAATTAACATACATTTACAACATTAAGTGATCGCCTCTGCGGTCTAGTGGTTAGAGGCCCGTGTTCGATTCTCGGCGCTACTAAATTTTCTGAGAAGTAGTGGGTCTGGATCGGGGTCCACTCAGCCTCGTGAGAATAATTAAGAAGTTATTTCAAGGAAATAGCGGCTCCGGTCTAGAAAACCGAGATTAAAGGCCGTGGGGATCCGTTGCGCTGACCACGCGACATCCTCTATCAGCAAAATGTTGGCACTAACTTCGCCGAAAAGAGGCGAAATTCTGGTAGCGCTGGGGATTAAACCCAGGACCACTGGATCTGTAGGCAGGAACTCTAACCACTAGACCACTGAAACGGTCATTATGATAAACACGGTTGTCATAAAGGGCTTTCTACAAGCATTAGTATTCAGGACCAGACTAAAATATTAATGTAGTTATAATAAGTAGTGTTGTTCAAGATAACTGGGGGCAAGCGGTAGTGTAGTTGGTTGAGGCACTGTGTTACAAGCCGGAAGGTCGCGGGTTCGATTCTCGATGAGATGGATCTTTTCAATTGACCTAATCCTTCCACTGCACCATGGCCTTGGTGTCAACTCAGCCTCTAACAGAAATTAGTACCATGAATCTTCCTGGGAGTAAAGCGCGGCCGGCGCGTAAGGCTGACAACCTCACCGCCGTCTGTGAACCGATTATATTGATAATGTGGGAGCCTCGACCTCTCACATCCCTATGGGCCTCCACAGCCTGTTACAGGGATAGCTTTACCTTTACCTTTTATTATCTTCAAGATAACTAGCTAGTACTTATTACTTAAAATTTATTAAATTCTTATTATGTAAATATTTAAATATGTTCTTATTTTTCTTATGCTGGTTACGCAGAATATTTTGTGTAACTGGTAATATATCCGGCTGCAAATTTATTATAGAAATATGTTCTACATATTTTTTTTTATTTGGAACTCTTTTAAACTACTCTCAGCTACTGACCACCTGGTTACAGAGATCATCTCTATGTGATTAAGGACTATTGTCCTCGTATTGATTTTAAACTAAATTCCTGTCTTGTCGTACGGTTGTTAACTGCTTCATTATTTACTTCGTATGGTGTCTGAAGGTTAATAGCAACTTCATTCAATCAGATTTGCAAGCCTTTTATAAAAAGTGTGTAACTTCCGGTGAAGGGGGAGGAAGGGAGGAACTCATCTGACATAGAGACCTGCCTGCGCTTCCTGTTCGTCGGACACTCACTACAATAATGACTTCACTTCAACACTCAGTCAATGTGCATCACAGACCAAGTTTGCTTTACGTCGCACTGTGTTACCCGGACTGCCTCAACGGATAACGGACATCACTGGCAACACTGCTAAGTTGCAACAATAAGGATATTTCGGTAAATGATATCATGAGACATTAGTATACACTGCAGTGATATGAGGTAGTGAGCATTAGTGGTTAAATTTCTCTATTATGTAGAGAAAGATGCTTCAATGAATCATATCACAAGAAACTGGTTAAACTTCAGTAATATGAGGTAGTGAGCATTAGTGGTTAAATTTCTCTATTATGTAGAGAAAGATGCTTCAATGAATCATATCACAAGAAACTGGTTAAACTTCAGTAATATGAGGTAGTGAGCATTAGTGGTTAAATATCTCTATTATATCGAGAAAGATCCTTCAGTGAATCATATCACAAGAACTGGTTGAACTGCAGTAATATGAGGTAGTGATCATTAGTGGTTAAATTTCTCTATTATATAGAGAAATATGCTTCAGTGAATGTTATCACAAGAAACTGGTTAAACTGCAGTAATATGAGGAAGTGAACATTAGTGGTTAAACTTCTGCATTATAACGAGAAAGATACTTCAGTAAATCATATCACAAGAAACTGGTTAAACTGCAGTAATATGAGGAAGTGAACATTAGTGGTTAAACTTCTGTATTATATCGAGAAAGATGCTTCAGTGAATCATATCACAAGAACTGGTTAAACTGCAGTAATATGAGGTAGTGATCATTAGTGGTTAAATTTCTCTATTATATAGAGAAATATGCTTCAGTGAATGTTATCACAAGAAAGTGGTTAAACTGCAGTAATATGAGGAAGTGAACATTAGTGGTTAAACTTCTGCATTATAACGAGAAAGATGCTTCAGTAAATCATATCACAAAACACTGGTTAAGCTTCTGTAATATCAGGTAGCGAGCATAAATGGTAACATTTCTGTGTTTTAACACCAATGGAAATTTAGAGGTCGTTGTGATAGACGCTGATATATGTTGTGGTGTTTAGATAACACTTAAACTGAAACGAGTTTGTTATTCTGACGAAAAACATTTAAAAATAAAAAAAAAATACTCTCGATTATAAGTAATAAGTTCCTAATGAAGACAGTCCGTTTATTTGATTTAAGTTACGTATGTTTTGCAAAATAACACAATAATAGCGTCATTACAAGACTGTTTTGGTGAGTAACGATTATTAAAAGTCGAATTTTGTGAATACTTATGAAGGAAACATTGATATTTCCGTACTTAATAACCTAGCATTTGATGCTCTGCAAAATACTTAAGTATAAAAATTTGTAATTTTAAATCAGCTTTCTTTCCTGACATTATGAGGTTAACTTGCCATTGAATAACAATGTTTTAGTAATACATATATTATATGTTATGCTTAATTTTCGAAGAATGTGGATCTCCTATGTTCGTACACGGAAGTTTGTAGACTTTAATGAATAAGCCATTAAGTCGCTGCAATGGAACAGTAGCTTCAAACTTTGACGTTCCGGGCTGTATCTTGAAATATATAATACAACGGAAGCGAAATTATGTGAATTTTTAAATTTAAGATATAGTCGTCAAAAATATAACAAGAAGTGAACAGCCTCTAATGTTTTAATGTAATTTTTATATTATAAAAATTACACCATTAGATGTTATCATACGAATTAAATTTTTGATATCAAAGAAACTGAAATAATAATTAATAAAATTAATGAAATAAATTATTTGAAACAGAAATGATATTTGTAAATAATTACTGCCTGATTTATTATATTTAAAGATGAATGAAATTTAAAATAGTGGAATAGTTGTAGCATCTTTACCCCACGTACAATTTTCGAAATCAGTACTGTTAAAGTATGATAAAAACAGGATGGATGTGACTGGCGTTCTTCCTACTGATGGGACATCGTTTCGACCCTCATTCCGTCCTCATTCTTCACATCCAGAACTCAGTCCACAAGAAGACAGACAACAAAGGGCATCTTTGCCTGGTCACATTAAGAGACCAATGAATGCATTCATGGTATGGTCTCGAATTCAGCGACGTAAGATCGCTTTGGACAACCCCAGGCTGCACAACTCAGAAATATCCAAACAACTTGGTGGAGAATGGAAACTACTATCCGAATCGGAAAAACGTCCATTTATAGACGAGGCAAAGCGCCTTAGACTCCAGCACATGCGTGATCACCCGAACTACAAGTACAGGCCACGTCGGAGGTCCAAGGGAGTCAGTTCTGGTGGCAATATATTCTGTAGCCGTCGCACTGCAGGTTCAAGACAACGAACCAACAGCAGCAGCGCATCGTCTGCGTATCCTTCCTTCTCTTATGTACATTCTATGGAGGCGTTCTCCAGAGGCCTGTGCGTGACCCCGTCGGGTTTCATGCCACCAACGCAATGTCTGCCGACGATGCTGGACACTGTCGGAGCTCAGCAGGACAGCTTGAGGCACTTCCTGCCGCAACTAGGACACACTCCATTACCAGGATCGAGTTTTCCTCCTGGAACAATGCCTCATTTTGCTTATAATGTATTTAAAGGCAAGGGACAAGCTTCAGATGACATTGCGTTTGCAGATCTGCCTTCAGCATTTCATCTTACCTACAGTCCTACAGGTGAAATCGCGTCCTCAATTGCAGCTAGTAAAGATCTTCAGATGGACATTGTAGCTAACACAGAAGCAAGCCAAGCGGGTTCACGGGAAATTGCAACGGCTCAAGACATAAAGACTCTAACTCCGATATTCTCAAGTAACTTAATTACATAAATATTGTGATGAAATATAATATCAATAAACAATTTTAAAAAGAGATAATTAAAACCTGTAGTAATTATATGTGTATTCCACAGTTACGTTAATAAATTATCCAGATGTATTGGAAACTTCAGGATATATCATGTTGATATAATAAAAGTTGGGGCACGTGGTAGCGTAGTTGGTTGAGGCACTATGGTATAAGCCGGAAGTCGAGGGTTCAAGAATCTATGAGGTCACAGCCTTTTTTCAATTTACCTAATTCTTCCAGCCGCACTGTGGCCCTGAGGTCGACTCAGCCTCTAACAGAAATGAGTACCAGGAATCTTCTGGGAATATTCTTGGGGGTAAAGGGCGGCCGGCGCGTAAGGCTGACAACCTTGCCGCCATCTATGACCCGATTGTCTAGAAAATGTGGGAACCTCAACGTCTCACAACCCTGTGGGCCTCCACAATCTGTTACAGGGACAGCTTTACTTTACTTTATTATAATAGATAATAAATTAGCCTAAGCAACGACCGAGGAGAGCTCTACTGATCAAGGGACTCCACTGAATATATTGAATCCGAAAGTTCATAAGAATCATTCACTCTGAGGTTTATTTAACATCCATTTTAAAACTAACCGATTAACTTAGCAGAACAAATTTCTGGAGAATCTAATAGTTGCTCATCTAGTCAAAAAATTTTCTGTATGTTATGGAACCGGAAGATTTATTAACCAAATTTACAAAATCTTACCACTGGACCTTAGCATGAGCCTAATTAATCAATTCATCAAAATCCCAATCTGCTTTTAAAGAATAATTTTAATATTATCATCCTATCTGCTCTGATGTCTTCCATGTGGTCGCTTTCCTTCGGGACATTTGACCAAATATTGTATGCATTCTCCTCGCTTCCATTTGTATTACAAGCTGCTTTCCATTGCTGGGTAACCTTGTCGATATCTGACGAAAGACACAAATTATGAAGTCGAAGAAATATTGTACTGGAGCGTCATGTTTCACTTGATATACAGTCAATCTTAGTTTCGGACTCCACGGAACCCGTAGCCGTATTTTTCTCTTTTACGTCTCTGAGCTGTGAGACCCACGGCGTGTCGTCTACACAACTGCAGTATATAATGGTATATTACATAATTATTTATTGTTGGTATATAATTTGGCTCTGTGCAGACAGAACCGCCATTATGAAATTTGTCAAAGTTCTCTTCTTCTCTCGAAATATGCTTCTGAGCATCCTGTTAACAAACGCCCTCTTTCCGCAAAGTGACAGCATGTTTCACAACCGGAAAAAAATTGTAAAATTTTAGTTTTTATGTATTAATATGATGATGGAGGAAGGCATATAGGATATTGGTGGGAAAGCCAGAAGGAAAGAGACAATTAGGAAGGAAAAGATTTAGGTGGGTGGATAATATTAAAAAGGATCTTAAGATGGAGCGGTATGGACTGAACTGATCTGGCTCAGAATGAGGACCGGGTTATGTCTCTTCTGAACACGGGACTGAACTTTCATGTTGCATGAAATGCTGGGAAGTTCTTGAGTAGCTTCACAATTTGAGACTTCTTAAGAAGGGTTCAGTTCCATGAAGTTAGTTAGTTATGTACAAATTAATGTTCAAATTACGATATAGAAGAAGGGAAGACGAAATATTTTGAACTGCAGCACACAAAATGACATCTACTCTTAATTTCTCAATTTTCACGCTACGTATTCTTCTTGTGTTCAGATCATTCGACTTGCGCTCTTTCGTCACTGTCACAGGTGACAAAGTAGGCCGATCCAACTACAGAGCCCCTCTGGTAAGGCTCAGCTTTCCATAAGCTCCAACCCAGTGGATGGCAGATTGCCGAAGCAGAGGAAACGCTCTACATTCATTAGATGGGCACATAAATTTGATCACGTAGTGACGTAATGTGTTTGAGGGAACACCCTTTCGTGATCACACACGTCAACAATGAAACCTGTCGCCAAGCAAGTAATATAAAAACAGAGGACAAAAGTGGGTGGATATTAGTGTCAATGGTGGCCGGATGACGACATGCACACGTACATATGTGCAGTTTTAGCAATACAGTACAGATATAGGACACACACATTGCTTGTTCCTTTTTTCCTACCTTTCTGCACCTCGGGAAGTTGTAATACAGTGTTTCCTGTTATCTAATTTGCTCAGCCTTTGTTCGTTCTTATTTTTGTTATGTGTAGCTCTTTGTATCTGCATTTTCATCATTACAAGAGAGAGTACATTGTTCTAAATGTATCAGCATTTGTATTGTAAAAACCTCAAAAATTCCATTGGAATGTACTTTGGATAGTTACCGAGAGAGGCGCTACTGTTGATTCTGCTGCTGCTGCTTCTGCTGCTGTTATTCATTAAAGACTGAATTCGAATTCTAGCTCCGTCCAAAATGATTTTAATTACCTTTGCTACGCTTGAATTCTGCTGCCTGAATGATACCAGCTTGTCCATGTACCTCACTGCATACACATCCCATTTCTTGTTTTGTATTTGCTGTTTTTGTTTGTAACTTCTAAGCCAGAAACAAAATGTCGGTAGGTAGCTCACTGCTCTCAGCTTATGGGTATAAACACAATAGCAAACGCAGTGGATTGACTAAGCTTCTTGCAGTAGGTTTGACCATTGTGTTCTGGGCGACACACGTCATTGATTTATTATAAATACTGTGTTGTGTTTTCGAAAATAAGTATAACACAAATAAAGAACAGTACTTTTTATTTGTCTTTATGTCCACAGAATATTCACTGTGTATATTCTTTTGAAAGTTTAAAAATTAAAACAAAAAATATCTTTTCAACACCGATTAAATTACAAAAAGCCATTGTTCACGTTTTCAGTGTCTGAGGAAAATAGACATTCTTCTCATTCAGTATAAGACCTAAACACAGAGAATTGCTTCTTTTTTTCACACTATTAAAAAGGAGCCTTTTTACACCCACAGACACATTTGTTTTGTCCACAGCAGCGTGCTCCCATTCTTCGTGTGTTAAACTGACTTCCTTCCTCCTGGATCGATGCATTCAGTTGTTAAGGCCGTTCCATAAACTCAATTTTAAAATTATATTTAACGAAGAAGAAATTATCACATGTAGGGATGACTATAAACGGGGTATGGATTGTTGAATGGATTTATTGACCAGTTATATACACGACCCGGAACTACAAGTATTTACAGCGCTACCGCTAATCTCCACGTTTTACAAATGACCACAGCTCCCCCTCCGCCTTTTTACAGTCTTCATCAGACATTCTCTGGTAACGGCTTCTATCAGTGGAAATTCTTCAGCGTTACGCGCTAAGATTCTATCTTCATAGTCTCTCGTACAGAACTCACCTCTCAACTGACAACTGGCAAGTAATTCTTTTGTTGACACGATGATTTTCAACTGACTGGGTCGCCCTAATTATCTTCAAGATAACTCCTCGGCACGCACCACATAGAAAACACTGTTTTCTTCAGTAACTCTATGTTATGTGCGTGGTCGTTGCCACGGTAACGTGTTTCCCGATCCGTTGTCTAGGAAAGGGTTGCATAACACTTACTACATAGCAACGGCTGTACACGCTACAATATTCTGTTGGTTAATACTTCGAGGGATGAAATGAAACAGGAGGAGAAAAGGAAGGGGGTGAGTAGTGAGAGATGTTAAATTTGATGGGGGAAGGGGCACAGTCTCTGAAGAATGAAGTACTTTTAAGTAATACTTAAAAATTTAGTTCTTACCTTACATGGCAATAATGGATTGAAAACACCAACTGAGTAAAGTGGTCTGCTTCTTCTGAGAACCGTATGGAACACATAAATACACTCTGTAAGTAAAATGCAGAGTTTCTGTATGTTAAAGTAGGTGGTATAATGTATACAGTTATCACTATGCTTAGAAAGCTAATATTTTATTGAACACCCCCCCAACCCCTGAAAATGAAAGAAATAGTAAGAGCCGAATTTAAAGGAGAACGACAGGGGCGGTCTCCCCATTCTAAAAATAGAAATAGAATTAGGGGATGTTATTAAGACATTTGCCTCTCTAAAATCACGAAAAATTAGTTTGTATTTTTGGTCATTACAAGAAATATTATAAAAGTGAAAGAATTCTCATGGACTGAATTTGTTGTTACTGAGTGGGCCCTTCATATTTTGGTTTCCCCGGGGCTACTGTGAATCTGTCCTTACAGGGAGCTGTATTCGCATTGGCTAGGAGGCTGGGTGGACCCAAAGTCAAATTTAATGGCTGAAGGGGATAATTTCACATGTAAGATAACCCGATACAGAATTTGTAACAACCCTAAAAATTGAACTATATATATATATGGTAACGTGTTTCGTTACCGATCCCACTTCTGACACCAATGTAACGTGTTTCGTTACCGATCCCACTTCTGACACCAATGTAACGTGTTTACGTTACGGAATACGCCGTAGAGATCGTTAACTGGTTTATTGAACAATCTACAAATAACGGCTATAATTAATGATCACAATATTACGGGTTTCCACACTTTACAAACCCTACAACAAAAACTCTTAACACAATCTTCACGGAACTTCAAGTACTAATAATGCGGGAGCTATACAAATCTCCCTGAATTACACACTCCAAATATAACTGTACTACAGCAATCACTATGTCTGGAAGTCTCGCTGACTTCTTAGTTGTCGCACACTCGCAGGCTGCTATGTTTCAACTGATGATCACACGGCTGTGGAGTCCGCTTATATAGCCTTGCGCTGTTGCTAGTGTGACGTGGCGTATAGCCTAGGACGCTGTTGCTAGTGTGACGTCACCGCTGTTGATTAGCATTGCGTAGTTGCCAGGTCACGGGGCTCGGCTATCTTCGGCTCCGCTCGGCTCTCTTCGGCTCCGCTCGTGACGTCACCGCGCGTTGCGCATTGCGGGGTGATTACTTGCCTATTACGCGAGCGCTCAGTTACCGCTACGTGGAGCTGGGGCGGTAGGGATCAACATGTCACAATATATATATA